AGGGGCCTTTTTGCTTTATAAGAAGATTGGGCTAAGAGATTCCCTAAACACCCAGGTCGTAACCCCTGTCATGTTATTAACAACACAGTAAAGCTAGTTTATCGTTTTAGTCTTATCTCTTCATTTACAAAATTGAAGTCTTGACTTGGATATTCTTTAAGGTATTGCGCCCCCCAAACAAACAAATGAACAAACAAAACTATGACTTTGTCTTGTTAAATATTTCAGTGAGAAAGTTTTTGTTCAGTTAGAGTGAAGGGAATTGTGTAACCCATCATGCCTGTTTAGCAGTGATATTGACAGACCCAGCAACGATTTATTTGTGCATGCAAGTTAGATTTTCTGGTGATGGAACCAGAGAAAGACAGTAATTAATTAGAGACACATAAGGAAGTAAAACGACAGCCCCAGACTTGACCCTCTGCAGGACTTGAAGCTGACATCCAGCTTTCATTCTTAATTCTTGATGCTTCTGCTACTTTTATTGTATTCATCCTTTGCAAGCACGTATTGCCCCTGTTCTTTAAAATCTTCTAATTCCCTTCCTCTGCTAATTCATATCCACATGAGGAAAGCAGTATATGATTCTCATTAAATCTATTTCAAACTCTATTATCTGCTTTAGGGCTAAGTTACTCTTAGACCACTGAAAACAATTATAAGCAATTTTTTGCAGAAATTTTGCTTAGGATCCTTCTCAGAAAAGGAACTGCTGGGCTGAACTACAGCAAGTTGAGTGTTACAGCAGGTCCAGGCTTTGGTGCAAACATCACTGCTACTTAAGCCTTAGGAACTGACAGACAAGTGTTGGAGGTACCAGAGGTAAGAAGAGATGCAGAATAAAGCTTCTGGAATTATCACTGTAGAGATACCTGGTATTTTGCAATTAGTCCTGTCTACATTAATAAAGTTGTAGATCTTTTGAGAAACCACTCCTGGCATTTTACTGGAAAAGGAACTGCTGGGTTGAACTACTGCACATGACACTTAAAGGTACTGATAAATTGTATCAAACTATCCTCCAGGAAGATCATACACCTGGAGGAAGTGTGCCTGTTTCCTGTTTCCCCTGGAGGAAGTGTGTCTGTTTCCTGGAAGATCATACCCCTGGAGGAAGTGTGTCTGTTTCCTGTTTCCCCTGGAGGAAGTGTGTCTATTTCCTGTTTCCCCTGGAGGAAGTGTGTCTGTTTCCTGTTTCCCCTGGAGGAAGTGTGTCTGTTTCCCGGAATGGCATCATCATTTTATCTTAAACTTTCCCAAAGGTGTTTCATTTCAATTTACATTTCTTTAATGACTAGCAAGTAGAATATTTAAGGTTATTAGCCATTTTATTCATTGTTGTAAGAATATACTACTTATGTTACAGGATAGTGGTCCTGATCCAGGCCCCAAGAAGGGTTCTTGGATCTTGCACAAGAAAGAATTAAGGATGAGTCAACAGTGTAAAGCAAAACAAGTTTATTAAGAAAGTGAAGTGGTGAAAGAACAGCTACTCCATAAACAGAGAAGGGTGATTTTGAAAGTATGAGGAGGAACATGTCCACCCTAGGTATAAAATTTTTTTTTAACCTAGTTAAAAAAAAAAAGAAAGAAAAAAAATAGAATTCTTTTTTTAAAACATAATTTTTTTAAGCCTGGTACTTTCTTTTACCTAAATAATAATAATAAAAACGATTATGGGACTACAAGGACTTGTGATAAGATACTAATTTTCTTAATTACTGTATTTTGCAAGAATAAATATTACTGTTTTTAAAGCAAAATTAGGAATGCCTTTGTTCTCAAGATATTGGGCTGTCGGGGCACTTCCAAGTCTAAGTCTGTTTAGTAAACAGTATCCGTCTGTTTCCCTAACCTTAAGCCTGTGGAGGCTAGGAATGCCTAATTTTCTGGGAATATAACCACATAAGTCCCAGCCTCATTTTCTTAGCTCTCACTCAAGATGGAGTCCCCATAGTTCCAACACCTCTGACATATCTCCCCCACTCCTTTACAAGAGGACCCTTAATCTTAAAGATGTAGTCATTTCCATGGTCCCCAGAGATATGTTACAGGAAAGAGGTCCGAATCCAGACCCCGAGAGAGCTTTTAGATCTCACACAAGAAACGACTCAGGGCGAGTCCATAGACTAAAGTGAAAGTAAAGGAATAAAAGAACAGCTACTCCATAGACAGAACTGCCCTGTGGGCTCCTGGTTGCCCATCGTTATGGTTATTTCTTGATGGTATGCTAAACGAGGGGTGGATTATTCATGCCTCCTCTTTTTAGACCCTATAGTGTAACTTCCTGGCATTGTCATGGGATTTGTAAACTGTCTTGGTACTGGGGAAAGTGTAGCCATGAGGACCACCAGAGGTAACTCTCCTCACCATGTTTGTTTTGGTGGGTTTTGTTTGGCTTCTTCACTGCAACCTGTTTTGTCAGCAAAGTCTTTATGACATGTATCTTGTGCCTACCTCCTATCTCACCCTGTGACTTAGAATACCTTAGGAATTCTAAGGCTGGGAATGCAGCCCAGTATATCTCAGCCTTATTTGACCCAGCTCCTATTCAAGATGCAGTTGCTCTGGTTCAAATCCTCTGACATTTATGTTTTGGTCCAGTTTACTTTTGGTGTATCTATTTGTTTTACTAATTAATCCAGCTCCTTACAGGAATGCTATAGCATATATTCCAACATTATATGTAATGAATCTCTAAAGTGAAGGTATTAATTGATATATTCCAGATATCAAACAGGTTGGGAGCAAAGCTGATTTTTATTTTGAAAGATAAGAGGGCTGATTATTTTTATATTTTTGAACAAATGAAATATACCCTCTTTCTCTCTGAAAAGGGACTGAACTGAGCAGTCAATAAATATTTGAAAGCAGTGTACATATGTGAATTTAGAGAAGAGAAAAAAATTAATCTGCATTATTCCCACAATATGCTTGGACTATATTTCATCCTGGGATAATTTGTCCTGTGTCTCCTGAGTCACAGAGACAGTGATTTTTAAGGTATTGCTGTCACGTTTTCCTAGGTAACAAGCACAGGATCAGGGGCTTCATCAGCACTGGCCTTGTGATCTCTTTTATGTAGTAGAAGCTCCTGTGTAAAGCTCACAGGGAAAGTGAACACTTTTAGCTTCCTCTAGGACCAGGGCCATGTTTGTCTGTGTCCTCCTTTGAGGCTGTTCCTTAATCTCTATTTAAAAGTGAAAGATAAATGGGAATAAAATAAGCTACATATTATGAGATCAGTAAGAAAAGACAAAACAATAAAAATAAGCACCTACATTGAAAGCATTGAGTTGAGCAAAATGAACTATACCAAAGGATTACGGTAGGTTTGTCCGATGGATTATTTATAACCCAAAACAATAAAACAAATCTAGAGTATAAGCTTAAAGTTCAATTCATAAAATATTTTTAAAGAAAGATTTGCAGAATAAATACTTTTTGTTGTACAATTAACCTATGGTCTGGGTCAGTTAATAAGGCCATTCTTTCCTACGGAAACTATGGTAAATGTCATTCATCAATCCAGCATTATTTAAAACTGGGCCTAGACAAAGCCTTAGAATGTTTCTCAACAAAAATATTCAAGCAGCTATTATCAATCAAGAAGTTGGCATTTGAATTAACACATATTACCATTTCGATGCTTGACTCATCTACTAAAGGTATGTACAGTTTTATCAATTTAAATATAGAAAGGCGAATCAACTTTTATGCAGCAAGTTAATTCTTTCTCCAATGTTAGCAGCTTTCTAGCATAGGCTTCTTTCTCAGCTCTTGAGCCTTCTTTAAGCCACAGCTTCCCAATTGGAATAAACACCAATAGGTCAAAACAGGTACAGGTATAGAAGTTATTAATTCCTCAGCCTTAAGAAAGCCAGGTGGGGTTGAAGACGCCAGACGTCCCGGGCTGTTACTTATAACCATAAACAGCCACATCTGTGTACTCCAGTGTGCCGATATTATTGTTTTCTATTCATATTATGAAAAAGACAGAAAGTTTTGCTTGAATTATAGAACAAACAATCCTGTCCTAGTCAGAGACATTAGTACATGGGTAGTTCCTTCTAACTCTTACTCAAAATGTTAGAATTTTTCAAAATAATCACAATTTAAAAGTGAAAAGATTTATATTTTGGAATGGAATGTGTATATATTTATGTATTCATGTGTCACCTAAAGGCAGAGATATGTTCTGAGATAATCTTTAGGTAATTTAGTCATTGTGAAAATATCAGAGAGTGTACTTACACAGACCTAGATTATATAGCCTAACACACATCAAGGCTATAGGTGCAGCCTATTGCTCCTAGGCTACAAACTTGTACCTGCAGACATGTTACTGTACTAAACACTGCAGGAAATTGTAATACAATGGGAAGCATTTGCGTATCTAAACAGCTAAACACAGAAAATGTGTAATGAAAATACAGTACCATGATCTGATGAGACCACCATCATATAAGTGGTCTGCGATTGGCCAAAACATTTTTATGCAGTGCATGACTGTATTTATTATACGTATACATATTTTCAGTCTGAGACACAACTGATTTTACTTGGAGTGAAATACATTGTTGTGTGCTGCACTTTTCTAGAGCACAGCTACTGTTCATTGAAGCTCCTGGTATTGTAGCATAAAAGTCCACTAGATGATCTTGAGTATTTAAGGAGCATTATTGTTATAAACTCTAGCTGAGATTAACTTCATGGAGTGACTTCCTAAGGCACCTATATCTTTTCTTTCTCATTCAAATCTGTCTAGCTTGTATCTCTCTAGGCACTTATAATCATGGTACTAGATTGATATGAATTAATAGGTTGATGGAAAATATTTCTTAAGAAATTAAAAAATTTCAGGTACAATTAATCTTTAACTGCCAAGTATGTGTATTATGAGACACTGAATGCGAACCAGTTTGGAAACATAAATTGTAATTTACACATTCAATACAAACAAAACTATAAAGCCAATAAAAAGCAAATTGACAGTTAATTTAATGTAACAGATTATTGCTTTTAATAGAAAGCAATCACACTTAACATCACAAATATGAGTTGATTACTCCAGAGCGATTCTTTGGGTCAGGCAGGCTGATGCTGCTTCTTGCCTCATAACTGAGTGTCCTTCAGTCCTTTCTCAAATTGCTTTTAGAGTGGTCATTGCAAGTGATTCAGTTCTTTGAATGGCTCCCTACTGCTTGCTATAATGCACAGATATCATCAGTTAGTGAACAGAATCCTTTTTATCTGAGTCTTGCTTACCTCTAGCCTCATCTATTTTTAATGTTGTCTGTCATTATTTAAACAGGTCCATATAATTTGTTCCGGCTCTACTATACTAAGTATTTACAGTCTCCACAGGTGTCATCTTGTTTCTCTCTTCAGAGCCTTTCCGACATGCCATTCCCACTGTCTATGTATAGTTTATAGCAGCCCATGGTCATTCCTTCAGAACTGGATTTTGGTTTCTTCCGGGAAATGCTTTGTAATACACTCCCTCTTCTCCTCCAGCTCTGTATAAATTGACTCCCTCTTTCTGCCCACCAAAGCAGCCTACGCATTCCTGTTTTGACCAGACTTGACACTCTATGCTACAAATAACTGGTTTATTCTACTTGTCTGTGAGATCCCTGAGAGAAGGGTGAGGTCATATTCACACCCCTTGCATTTTTAAATTATATTTTGACAGTTTTAAATTCTTCATAAATATTTTTGAAATGGACTAAGGGGATGAGCTCATGCTACTGGAGTTACTGCGCATGCTGGTTTCTGGTTTTGGCTTTTTTGTTTCATTTTGTTTGGGGACGTGTGTGTGTCCTCATAATGCTGAATGCAAGAAGGATAAGCAGATGTTTTGTGTGAGTTACTTCCCTGAGGGGGCTTCCTGTGAGATATTTTTCACCTTCCTCTTCTTTTTTGCTTTGTTTTGCTATTACTTCTGTGTCTGTTCCCCGGCTCTCCCTCCTGTCTGCCCTGTATTAGACGTTTTACAAATTTCAGAGTCTTTTTTTTTTTTTTGAAGCTGTGCAGTAAATGTATACAGAAGTGAATTGTCTCTTGGAACAAGATTAACTATTTGTTTTGTAGAAGTCCAAGAGATGCCTTTATTTGGTTGCTAACAAAATGCGAAATCAGTATGGTGTGGGTATTCTTTTAGTGCCTAGAATGGGTAGCAGGTAGATATGCCAACATAAAACCAAATAACATTGAAGCCGTGGTATTAAGATAGATAGCTCAGTAAAGGAATATTATGTAAATTTTCTCTGTTTTTCACTTTATTTTACTAGTCAATAGGCATTGTCTAAAATTCCAGAGAGTCATTCATATAGTTAAAAGGAAAATAATGACAAATTTGAGTTGACAATCATAAAGTAAGAAATGTCTACTCAAATCACAAATGATGACAGATATATTTATTTTTGCCTTAGCATTCATTAAGTTTGGTAAAGAAGAACAATTTTTAAGAAACTCATTAGACATCCTTGACAAACTTAAGAAAAGTTGACTGCCACCATGATTTGGTTGTGCAGAATTTCTAAACTCACACAGCATTAGAACTGAGCTAGCATTGGATGCCAGCCTATGAGTTCATTAATAGTTAAACTTTATGTATTTGGTTATGCAACAAATATTTATAAAGTGTTAAACATGTGCACAGCTTTTTTCCAAGTCTTGGGAATAGTAGTATAAGAGAAGAGTCTACAGTTTTACAAAATATGGGCTCCCTCCGCCTTGTTGTTAATACTTCTGTATAGGCATGGGTTTTATTACACATACTCAAAACACTGGGGAGGGCATAGATGACACAAATTAAAACATTTTGGTTTAGTTTCTGAGCTTCAAAGTGAATTATACAAATCCACAATTTTTCATAGTTATCTGTGATCCACTTTCTGGCAATATCTGAAGTAACACAGTGTAGTGGAAACAGCAAGTACTCACTTTCTGATAACCTCATCAGTTCTGCCAGAAACTCATTGTTCAATCCTAGATAAATAGCATAACCTCCCAGGTTTTTAGGAAATAACATTAGATTTTCCTTAAATGTGCTTCTACCCATGATTTTCTGCCTACAGAATATAATAATTTGCTAATGAAAGTGCCCCATAATCACTAAATAACTGTTACCCATCTATATTTTTCAACTAATAGCCACAACTTATAAAGAAAGATCAGTTGCAAAAGCCATGTGAGTCTAAGCTTCCTCCAAACAAGAGCATGCATATCCTAAGCAATGCAATGCAGGGAATCAGAGAAGGTGTATGTTGAATGATGTTACACGTGATCCGCTAGTAACTGTTCATGTAACACAATAACGAGATTTAAATTCTTACTAAGTTGCATGAAACCTATAATATAAAAATACTAGCAGTAGCTATGACACGTTAGCATAATGTGAAGTCATTTTTCCTGCTTTTGTAAACTGCTGAGAATATCTAATGTTACAGTTCTCAGTGGAATTTCATTAAAGCTACATCTGAACCACGTACAAGTTGACCTCATATATCAAGGACCATCAGCACTTTACTACTATCCGTGTGGGGGAATAAAATATTTTGGCAACACGCATTTCTGGGAACATCATATTTACTGAGGCTAGCAATTAATCACTTAAAGTTGTATTTGAATAAAATGTGTTTCCAGGAAAATATTTTAATTGTATTATCCCTTTTATAATTTCACTAGGCAAATTAGATGACTTGAAATAGAAGTGGATTTTCACAAAAAGTTATTACTTGATAGTACAATCTATACAATCACCTAAATCCAACTTTATCATGTGGGACTTAGTTTATTATAACTCATGAATATATAGATTTTGATTCATTTTAAGCTGCACATGTCTACATTAACAGTAGAAGTAGTGTTCTTCAAAATTTAAAATGAAAGTTTAAGCATCCTTTAAAAATAAACATTTTGAAGATTCTGTTTTGATATTACCTATATTTGATTTATAATTTTATCTCAATAAGTTATTTTTAATTAATATTAATATAATAATATCATTATTATAAACATGTCTTTATTCTTATTCCTTTTGAAAATGATCTAGTTGTACCTCTTGAACACTTATTACGTAAATAGTGGGACTGTACTCCATTTACTATCCTGTATATGTATCATCAAACCGTTTCTTGTGTTGGCTTCTCTGTCTTTTGTTTTTGAAGTTCATTTCCTATTGCCTTTTGAGAATATTTTCCACTCCTTATCCCACTCACTTCCTTCACATTTTGTGCATTCTTGGTTTTTTTTTTTTTATTATTCTTTTGTTGAGGCTTCCTGGTTTGGTTTTATTCAAATAAAAATCATGGATTTTTGCATTTTATTTAAAGTGTCAGCTGGGCATGGTGGCTCATGCCTGTAACCCCAGCACTTTGGGAGACCAAGGCAGGCACAATTTGAGGTCAGGCATTCAAGACCAGCCTGGCCAACTTGGTGAAAGCTCATCTCTACTAAAAATACAAAAAAAAAATAGCCAGGCGTGGTGGCACACACCTGTAATCCCAGCTACTTGGGAAGTTGAGACGGGAGAATCCCTTGAACCCAGGAGGCAGAGGTTGCAGTAAGCCAAGATCACACCACTGTACTCCAGCCTGGGAGACAGAGCAAGACTCCATCCCCACCAAAAAAAAATGTCAACTCGGTAGCTGAAATTTTCTTCTGATTTCTATGATAAATCATTTTTTCTCTTATTTGCTTATTCTGAAACACCGAAGCAAAGCCATATTACATGACTAATAGCAGATTGATGCCGAGTTCACATCCACATTCTTAGCATATATTAGACATCCATAGAGTGTGGCTGGTTCCCTTTAAAGAAGAATGTGCTTATATTCTATCTACTTCATTTTTACATAATCTGATCCCAAGGAAAGCCAAGCATTCTCTATGTTTTAAATATACTTCTGCATTACAAGCCTCAATATGTATTACGTTCATGTTGTTTTCCTGCTACTGCTCAGGAAAAATTATATTTCTATAATGCAATGTGATTTACCCTTCCTTTCATTCACTCATTCTCTAGCAAATATATTCTGCAAATAAATAGAGGGAAGAGAGATACTTACCATTAGCAGTAGAAGGACAAAGTGAAAAAGGCACTCCACTGGCCTGAGACTTCAGTAGTCAGAGACATGCAATTGAGGAATGATTTCTGGATGGTATAGATTTTATTTCTAAATCAGAATGCATAAAACTGGGTACATCAGTTTGTTTTATTTTCTGCCAATAAGTCATAGTAAATGTCTAATTGATTTTATGATTAAGTTCCATCAGTCTTGTCATTACAGCTTAGTAATAGGTTGTCTAACCTAGTTTTAGTACTATAATGGAAATCTTAAAAAAGGTATAGAGAAACTTCTTATTTTAAGATGCTATTTTTGTAATGGTCTGCCAATAGTTTTAATATAATTGGTGGTGATTTGGTCATTTAACATTATTTTAGTAAAATCTCATTTGTAACTTTTTCTTACAAAGACAAATACTTTATGATTTTATTTTGGAATCTTAAAAAGTTAATCTCATAGAAATGGTAAAAAGTGGTTAGCACAAATGGGCAAGGGGAAGGAATGAGAGGAGGGAACATGTGGATCAAAGAGAACAAACTTTTATTTATACAAGAAGACTTAGTTTTGGTGATCTACTGCTCTGCATGATGACTACAGTTAATAGCAATGGATTGTAATGTTTCAAAATTGATAAAAGAATAGATTTTTAATGTTCTCACTACAGAAAAAGTTGTGAGGTGAAGAATATGTTAATTAGCTTGATTTAATTCTTCTACAATGTACAACAAAATCAAAACATTATTTTGTATCCCATAAAGATACACAATTATTATTAGTGTATTAATATAATTTTTAAAATTTAAACAGAAATATAAAAACTAACAATGTTTAAAATCTCATAACCAGAGTTGCATTCTTACTGCTTTGGAATGACCATTTTCTTTGACTGTTGCCTTTGAAATAAAAATGAATCCAGACTACATTTGGAACCCCTGATAAAATTTCAAAAGAATAAAGAAACTGAGATAGTAAATAATGTTTCGGAATGAATACTGCAATGATGTGTTTTGAATTATCCTAAAGACTGCCTTATGGTAAAATAGATTGTTGTGGTTTATTTTGAGGGTCATAAAAATGTTACCATCTCTTCAATGACCTTGTATTGTCTTTATCAAAATTCTAAAATGTGCTTCTATTCTATTTTTTCTCTTATTTGAACAAATTACTGTTAAAGGACATTTTGTATCGGCAGTAAATAATCAAATGTTGGAATAGATAGCCAAATAAATGAAGAAGTTAAGAAAATTGAGGTTAATGGATTGCTGAGTTTTTAATAGAATCTTAGTAGACGTATTCATAAACTGCAACTCAGCATCATTTATTTGCTTGGGTTTTCTTTATAGTTATTTACACTATACCCACATATCTTTGTCCAAATAAATTTGATTTTTTATTATATTTCCTACTTCAAATGTATATAGCCACTATTCTATTTTCTTAAATGACCTTGTTACACATGGGAATTTTTTTCCACATGAACTCTGAGTTGTTTCCTTTTCTTTGTATTCTGAATATCAACTTTATATGTTTCATCTTAAAAGCATAAATTTTCCTCGGTGTTTTATTCTCTTTGTAGCAATTGTGAATGGGAGTTTGCTCATGATTTGGCTCTCTGTTTGTCTGTTATTGGTGTATAGGAATGCTTGTGATATCTCCACATTGAATTTGTATCTTGAGACGTTGCCAAAGTTGCTGATCAGCTTAAGGAGATTTTTGGGCTGAGATGATGGGGTCTTCTAAATACATAATCATGTTGTCTGCAAATAGAAACAATTTGACTTCCTCTTTTCCTAATTGAATATTCTTTATTTCTTTTTCTTGCCTGATTGCCCTGGCCAAAACTTCCAATACTATGTTGAGTAGGAGTGGTGAGTGAGGGCACCCTGTCTTGTGCCAGTTTTCAAGGGAAATGCTTCTAGTATTTCCCCATCAGTATGATGCTGGATGTGGGTTTGTCATAAATAGCTCTTATTATTTTGAGATACATTCCATCTATGCCCAGTTTATTGAAAGCTTTTACTTCTAGTTTTTAGTCATCACTTTGAGTAAAGTCATCACTTTGGGTAAGATACATCAATAACTTGTGGGAATCTAACCCAGAGATTGTTGACTCACCTTGCCTGTGAAAAATTCTATATGTATGTTAAATTTAAATTCCGGTAGACTTTATTATAAATTACTTGGTTTAATATGTACAAATATAAGAATACAAGAAATCTAGTGTAATTTATTTTATTTAAACAAATAGAAAACATTTTTTCTAACCTCCCTACCAAGAACTTACCAAGTTGTTTTAGATGACTTTTAAATTAATTAATTTAGGGGACTCGACATTTTTCAGTTATTAAAAAAGTAAATATATATAGCATTTTAACAGATCTTCTCCTATACTTATCTACTGCTTTTCTCCATAGGTGTTTATGGAGGATCTACTCATGCCAGGCATTCTGTTAAAACACTGGGAAATGTGAGCAAAACTACCTAATATACTTACTTATAGAGTTTCCAATCTAGAGGAGAAAATGGCCAGTGAAATAATTCACAAAAAATGTTGAATTTTAACATATTTACATGATATAGTAAGCATGTATAGCTGGTAGCTCCAATCTAGGCTTTTATGAGGGAGACATAGTCAGGGAGTTCTCTTTTGAGAGAGTAATAAGACAGGTGGTTCATATTTACAGTGAGTGGCATAAGTTATGATGCTGTGAACAGAACAAACATGAAAAAGTGGATGTCAGACACCCTCTGTATCCTTTTTGCAAAGAGTAAGGGAGAGCAGGATGTAATATAGAACTGAGAGTGAAGGTAGTGGGACAGAAATCACAAGTCATGCTTATGATTGTAGTCTTTAATAGTGCAATAAGAAACCATTGAAATATTATAGAGATTATATTTTTGATGCATAAATTTGTTTTGGATGCAGTGTTATAGACCCATGAGATGGACGAAAGAATAGATATAGTGAGGGCAAAGAAAGAGAATATCAATAAGCCCTGGGGAATGTGATTATTGTCTTAGAATCGAGAGGTAGCAGTAAAGATTTAAACCAAGTGAATGGAATCAACAGATAAACACCAGGAAGGAGCAACAGTGTTCTCTATTAAATTGCACAGAGGAGGTTGCCTATAATTTCTTAGTTTCTGTCATGCAGAAATAGGTGAATTGAAAGGACATTGCATTAAGGGGAAATGCAGGAAGTAGATCAGTTTTGAGTTATGCTCTTAATTTACTTTGTTTAGACAGATAGTGCAATACTTGCAAAAATTAGGCAAGAGGGATTAAGTAGTATGTATGTTAGAAATACTTGGGCCGGGCGCGGTGGCTCAAGCCTGTAATCCCAGCACTTTGGGAGGCCAAGGAGAGTGGATCACGAGGTCAAGAGATCGAGACCATCCTGGTCAACATGGTGAAACTCCGTCTCTACTAAAAATACAAAAAATTAGCTGGGCATGGTGGCACGTGCCTGTAATCCCAGCTACTTGGGAGGCTGAGGCAGGAGAATTGCCTGAACCCAGGAGGCGGAGGTTGCGGTGAGCCGAGATCGCGCCATTGCGCTCCAGCCTGGTTAACGTCTGAAAGAAAGAAAGAAAGAGAGAAAGAAAGAGAGAAAGAAAGAGAGAAAGAAAGAGAGAAAGAAAGACTGAAATACTGGTCTGATTTTCAGAGGGGAGTGGAGACTGGGGGTAAAAATTTGAGTCGATTCTATTGATGTTCAAATGGAAGTCTTGGGTATGGAGGAGTTGGCATGGGGGAAAATGAAGTAACATGTAATGAGGTCTTAAGACAGGGAATTGGGAGAACTTCAACTTGTAATAAATTGTATAAGGGAGGAGTTGAATAAGCAAACAAGAGAGGGAAATGCTTGTAATTATAGAGAATGATTCACGTGAAGGAATTTCATTTTGTAACAAAGAAAAGGGGTGGGTGAAGGGGACAGAATATGACTGTGTCCATTTGAAATCCAGTCAGTCACAAGCTAAGATGTCTAAAATCAGAAACAAAAGACTTTTAATTTTCTTGGGTAATGAACTATTTAAAACACAATTATGTTATATCACTAATTGATCAATATTTTCATTCAATAGTGGGAGATCAATTCATCAGAGCCACTGGAACTTCACTGTGCATTGGCTTTCTGATGATTGCTTGCAAGATGCCAAAGCATAGTCTACAAGTTCCAGGTAGAGGAAGGGCTAGAGTCAAATTATGAGCTAACATAGCCCGAAATTCTAAAAGATTAAACACATTCTGCAAGCCCTGATTTTAGATAGTAGGCTGCTTCTAAATGCCCAAGGCTCTGCCCAAAGGGAGAGCTTCAGTCTGAGCCAGAATTCTGATTCTGGTAGCGGTCACCTGACGGTCTGAATTCAACATTGTTCTTGTATTTGAATTATAATCAACTTGTATTTTTACTCTAAGTTGATGTCTGAACAAGTGTTGAAACACCCTTTACCAATTTTTACAGTCTTTTCCCCCCTTTTTATGCTAAGGATGACATAAAAGACATTTAGAGTATGTATGTGCATGTGCACCCGTATAGTTTCTGTGTGTTGATATAATTTTGTTGTGTTGGAATTTGCACCACTCAAAATAAGCAAGCATTTAATGGATAAATGGATGTTGGGCTCTTTTAAAAAATTGAACTTTACTGTAAAAATATTTTCAGCATATGTTGTATGATGCAGGAGGGAAAAAATTAGTATTTGGATAGCAATTCACTAAATAACAATTCAGTTAAGCTGAGTGGTACTCTTGCCTGTTATCATTAAGATGGGGGTAATCTCCTAGATATTATTCTTTCCAAGAAATTAGCTGTTTTTACATATCTCATTGCTTGGCATTATCATTATAAAACATCAAAATACAAAAGAAAAAAATATCCAGATGGTGTTGTGAACATTCTCATTAATGAATCAGTTCCTTCACTATGTAAGGCTCAAATGGGTCTTATCTCAACAAAAAAAATGAAAAGAGGAAAAAGTTCTAAATTAATTCTTGAGAAACATATGATTTTTCTGTATTTTTTGTTAAATTTTAATAACATCAGCCATTCCTGAGATTATCCATCTGATTATTTCAAATATTGGGACATTTTGGGTCAGACT